TAATTTTACAGGTGAAGAAACCAGTGCACAGAGAAGTTGAATAACTTGCTAGATCTGTTTTCCTATATTTATTTTTCATAAATGTTTATTGTGTTTGTGGGTCTCTTACCTTAGCAATGTCATACAAGACAGAGATCTTAAACTCCCAATCCATGAATGTACCATCAGGGTAGGAAATTGTGTCATTTAAAACTTCCTGAATAGAAGGGGAAAAAACAGGAAGAAGATGAGGCGTTGCAAGGAAAATATTGTAAAGAGACTATTATGAGCTGAATAATCATGAGGCCTTAGGATTAGGAACAGATTGGAACTCCATTGTCCTGGTCTTCCTAAACACATATTTCTCTTCTACATAGGAAGCACTGGGTCATTGGGTGGCTTTAACCACAGCAGGTGAGCAGGAGATACCCACGGCATCCCCAAGCCCAGTTCTTCCATCAGTCAGGGGTAAAGGAATGAGCTGAGCAGACCCTACCTGCAGAGTATCTGGTGAATGTGATTAACGAGTGACTGCCCCGCATGCTCTGTCTCACCAAAATTTCGCTAGTATTTTCAAACAGGGAATTGCTGCTAGGAAATTCCTTCATTAGGCTTACGTTTTTACCACATTATCAACTGCATTCATTGGCTTAATTGCTCTAAATTTACCAAGTTTACCAAGTTTAATTGCTCTAAGTTTACCACGTCCTATAATAACAAGAAAGAGTTAGTGGATTTTTGACCTCATCTGGCAACTCCTGGGCTATCCTCAGACCCTCACAATTTAGACAATAGTAGAATCATGATTTATGAACAAATCTTCTAATGCTTGTTTGGAGCTATTACAACCATCTGTTTCTTTTTCAAAACAAAAGCAAGTATTCAACTAAAATTAAATGTATTTAAAGGTAATCACTTTTTCACTTCTGTTCCCCTCTCTCCCTCACCCCAAATCTTCACTCCTTTTCTGGATTTTTTTTTTTTTTGGCTTCTCTGTAAAAATACAATAGGATTGACAAACAATCTGAGTGGTCTAGTTTGGAAAGTAGACGGGCCCATCAACTCTTCCTAATTCTGTAATGTTATTTCACTGGGTAAGTATCTAAAGAGGTTTGCTGAATGTATTTTCTTCATATGGTTCACCACTTAGGAAATTGGAAATGAGTATGGTTTTCTCACCCGGAGGGATCCTCTTTCACAGTATTCGATCACCCCAAAGATCGTGGAATCGAGCTTCACTGTGCCATAGAACTTGGTCAGGTTGTAATAGTCAATCTGAAGCAACTAGGAAAACATGTTTGTTGACAAAGCAAATCAGCCAGAAAACAGTAACAGCAGTAAAAATTAATATGCCAGTAAAACATGTTTTGTTTTAGATCTTTGGGAAGATGTATTGCTCTTAATAAATCAAATATCAGTACTCATTTCTTATGACACATTCCATCTTAC